GGAAAACCCGCGTTCAATGAACGCATGGTTTCACACGTCGTGGTTGTCGTAGTCGTTGGAGTTTGAGTTGCTGCTTCTTGCTCGTCGCATCGAGAAGGAAGAAGTTTCTCGTTCAAATTTGGCCGTAGAAAAGCAGACAGTCCTTCCACAAAAGGTTGCATAGCACGCAAAGGCATTCAACGGTTACGCAACGTGTCAGAGTAAGTTAAAGGCCCATAGGTCTTCAAGAATGGAACACACAAACAGAGCAGCGGTAGATCCGCAGCGGTAGTTGACAGTCAGCGACGGCCTGTGACGTTTTGGGAGTTGTAGGCCTATAACATCCGGTGGCGTTGAAAACGCTTTCGAAGTTATAGGCCTATATCATCAGGTGACACGCTGAGAGTAGCAGTATGTCCGCAGCGAAAAAATGGAACCCACAAACAAAGCGGCGGTAGATCCGCAGCGGTAGTTAACGGCCAGCAACGACCTGTGACGTTTCGGGAGTTATAGGCCTATAACATCTAGTGGCATCGAAAATGTTTTCGAAGTTATAGGCCTATAACATCCGGTGACGCACTGAGAGTAGCAACATGTCCACAGCAGAAAAATGGAACACACAAACAGAGCGGCGGCAGATCCGGAACGGTAGTTAACGGCGACGACCTGTGACGTTTCGGGAGTTATAGGCCTATAACATCCGGTGGCGTCGAAAACGCTTTCGAAGTTATAGGCCTATAACATCGGGTGACGCGCTGAGAGTAGCAGTATGTCCGCAGCGAAAAAATGGAACACACAAACAGAGCAACGGCAGATCTGCAACAGTAGTTAAAGGCCAACAACGGCCTGTGACGTTCAGGGAGTTACAGGCCATCCGGTGGCGTCGAAAACGCTTTCGAAGTTAAAGGCCTATAACTTCCACTGACGCGCTGAAAAAATCCACGGTGGAAGAATGGAACACACAAACATAGCTATGTCACACGCTGAGAGCAATGATACCCATAACAAGTTCAGAAGAGAGACCCGCAACTGCGAAGAGAAACTTGTAGGTCATTAACGTGAAGAATGGAACACACAAACAGAGCAGCGGCAGATCCGCAGCGGTAGTTAACGGCCAGCAACGGCCTGTGACGTTACGGGAGTTACGGCAGATCTGGTGATGTCGAAAACGCTTTCGAAGTTAAAGGCCTATAACTTCTACTAACGTGCTGACAGTAGCGGTAAGTCCACATTGGAAGAATGAAACACACAAACAAAGCTACTTCACACGTTGAGAGCAATGGTATCCACAACAAGTTCAAAAGAGAGACTCGCAACTGCGACGAGAAACTTCTAGGTCATTAACGTGAAGATTGGTACATTACACATTGAGAGCAAGGGTACCCATAACAAGTTCAGAAGAGAGACCCACAACTCCGAAGAGAAACTTGTCGGTCATTAACGCGAAGAATGAAACACACAAACAGAGCAGCGACAGATCCGCAGCGGTAGTTAACGGTCAGCGACGGCCTGTGACGTTCCGGGAGTTATAGGCCTATAACATCCGGTGGCGTCGAAAACACTTTCGAAGTTAAAGGCCTATAACTTCCACTGACGCGCTGAGAGTAGCGGTAAATCCACAGTGGAAGAATGGAACACACAAACAGAGCTACGTCACACGCTGAGAACAATGATACCCACAACAAGTTCAAAAGAGAGACGTGTAACTGCGACGAGAAACTTCTAGGTCATTAACATGAAGATTGGTGGGACATGCAATGGAAATGTTGGCAAAGATGAATGCAGTTACCTGGCAGCCAATCTTGTTTAATGCCAATAATTTTCTGTTCTAGATTGGCATCTTCATGGGCATTAGCTTGTCTCCCTTCAGAAGACATTTCACAACCTTTTTTTTTATGACGACCCACAACTCGGCCATAAGATACTTCTTTGTGACGTGAGTCGCAAATAAGATTTCGTCAAGTTCTGAATATATACCGCTGCCGCTGGTCTTCACGTGAAGATAGGCAAGACCARCTGTGATGTACACGGCCCAGAAGGACAACTTGAAGTCATCGCGAACAGGCCGCGACTCAAGGAACTCTCTCTGCCAACAACCCTCCTCCTCCATTGGGTCTTCTTCTCCTCCTTCCTCGTCCTCTTCTTCTTCGTCGGCTTCTTCTTCATCTTTTGCTCCTTCTCCTGCCTC